ATCCCATGCACCTGCCACAGAGGTGCCCCTTTAGCTCCCTCATAGTCCTCAAAAGCTTCTGTTTAACAGACTTTAATTTGTGTGTATTTATATGTACTTCAAATACTTTACATAGTTTAGCTCAGCCCTGAAAAGCTCACGGCAGAGGAGTGCTGGAGCAGCCTGTGGTGAGACACAGGTGCTCCTGGAGGTGGGAGCTGCAGGTCCCTGGCGTGGTGGCTTTAAGGGAGGAGGGAAGAGCACAAGCCAAGCTCACAATCTCCAGGGCTCTGATAAGGGGAAGGGGAGTGGCCGCCTGCTCCCGCTGAGACACGTCTGGCCAGGAGCAGGAAATGATGTGGGGCTTCCTCTCAGCATCACAGGATGTCTCACTGATAAGGGGTGTCCAGACTAAACAGAGCCTCCCTGGGGCTGCTGCGCTGGGCGTTCCCCCAGGGCCCTGGGGAGCAGCACCAGGGCAGCTGAACACGGCCTGGGCTGGCCTGGGGGCTCAGGGGTGTCAAGTTCTTAAGTCTTGAGAAATTTTAAAATAAAGCTTTACACACCCTTGTAGCTACAGCTTGAGGTGCAAGAGGAAGTTGGTCACAAATTATTTTTGAGGAAACCACAGTTCTCTAGACAGGCTCAGTCTGACAGAAACAGCATCAGGCCAGGGTGGCAATGCCTCTGTGTAGGCTTAAAGTATTAGATGCTTAATGCCCATTGAGGAGCTGTGGTTTATGCCTTCCTTTTTCTTACCTTGATACTGAAATCCAAACATGGATGGGGGAGGTTTACCTGCATTTTAGGCCAAAACATGGGAGGTTTCCCTTCCTTGCTAAATGGCAGTCTTTGCTGACTGCTGGCATTTCCTTTCTCGCTGGGTGCTGTTTCTGGTATTTGCACCTTCCGGTCCTGGGGGTTTTCTCTGCCTTTTCTGTCAGAAAGTACCAAACAGGGAGGTCAGGGAGGCCAAGAGCAGCTGCAGGTTCTGCTGGGAGCAGAGTGGGGACACTGCAGGGCTTTAATCCATAGCTGGGGAGGCCTGGCCCATCAGCAGCCAAAGCCCTTTCTGGTCACTTCCATTAACAATCGTTGTAAAAGAGCTGAAAGTGAATCCCCTGTGCCAGCACCTGGGGTTTGCTTTGCTGAGCTGCTGTCACTGCTTAAAGAAACAACAGCCACGCTTGAAGAAGTGACCAGGTTCTGTGGCACTAAGGAATTCTTGAACTGTTTCTTAACCTTCCTTTCTGGAGCTGGGGCCAGTGGAGATGTTTAGGTTTCAAAGCTAAGCAGGCACTTACTGCAGCAGCGTATGGAAAAAAGGAACAGGGTATTCCTTCCTTACCTCTATCTTGATAATCCTTTGTGTGGAGTAGACATTGTTTGCTCCCCTGCCCAGTGCAAGGTCCGTGTCCCACAGCCCTGTCTGTGTGTCTGTCCCACAGATCGAGGACCTGCAGGTGAAGCTGCAGCACGCCGAGGCCGACCGGGAGCAGCTCCGTGCCGACCTCCTGCACGAGCGGGAGGCGCGGGAGCACCTGGAGAAGGTGGTCAAGGAACTTCAGGAACAGCTGTGGCCCAAAGCGAGCAGCCAGCCCAGCAGTGAGAGCACCTCGAGCCCCATGGAGAACTGACCCCTCATCCCCCAGCACAGGGAGGGAGAGAGTGGGACTGGGAGTGCACGTGTGAGTAGTGGTGTCCTGGCACACACTTTAGGAATACGGATTCTCAGTAGTTGGAAGGCAAATGTTGTTACTCTCTAGAACAGAAGCACTGAATTCCGCCTCTTTTTTTTCCCAATCCATATAGCACAACATCTTACTGTGCCTAGAAAACACAAAGTGTTTGTAAACAAAATACTTTTAAGTCCACAGCAAATTTTCTACTGGCAAACTCTAAGCAAAGCAGTGTGGTCCAGCTGAACCCAGAGTCCAAGGTGAGCACGGCAGTGGCTTTGTGTTCTCCTGCCTGTTGGAACATTTTGGAATTTAAAAACAAACCGACTTTTCTTATAAGCTATTTAAAAGAATTCATTACACAGACTTGGTATAAAAAAAAAAATTAACAAGATTTTTATAATGAACCTTTAAAAGCAAAACAAAAAAAAAGACAAAAAATAAAATACCTTCGATGCACAATTTTTAATGACTTTATAGGCTTTGGGATTCTTTGTGCAGAAGCCCCTCTTGGTGATGATGCCATCCATGTCAGGAGCAGTTTTCCAGCCATCTCAGAAGCCATCGCGGTCCCATCCCGTCACGTGGGTGTAGGAGAAGTTCCGAGTGCTTTTCCAAGTTGATTTTTTTTCCTTAGAATGAATGATGTCCATTTCCTGCCCTGGACACAGGAAGAAGGGAAGCTGCAGGAGGGTGCAGGGGATGAGGGGAGCAGAGGGGCTTGGGTTGAGAGCCCCAGCCCAGCCCCACAGACCCCCCTGTGTTCAGAGACTTCACCCAGGAGCAAGTCAGCCTTGGGAAAAGAAAGAGAGAAAGAAGAAAGGAAGGAAATGGATGATCAGTTGGTAGAGGAACAAAGCAGAGACATCTGTGTGTTGAAGTCATTCTGAAATCTTCAGCTTTCAGTTTTCTGGAAAACTCATCTTGTTGCACCATCTTACCATGAGTTCAGTATTTCCCTGCTTCCATTCCGAACTGTCAGTCAGGATTTCTGTGCCCAAGGAGAGTCCAACGTTGCAGTGTCGGATACTACAGAACAGAAAACCAACATTTTTGCTGCTGTGAATAAGCCTACATCTTTTTTTAAAAAACTTTTTTTTTGTTTTTAAAAAGAGAAATTACTTTAATTTTGGGATCCAAGCCGCGGCCCCGGGATACAATGCAGCAAACCATCACTGCCTTGGGGGTGGTGCTGAGGTTTTTTATATATATATATATATTTTTTTTTAAAACCTGCACTTTGTCAGAATCTTACTCTGCATTTTATTCCCTGTTTCTAAGATGTACATGTCAAGCATTTGAGATTCTGCCCTAACAGCTGTGCAAACCATGAACCCAATCTGCCACCACTGACACCTCCCATCAGCGTCCCTGTAAGCAAAGGAGGATCCAGCAGGTCCAGAGCCCCCAGAGCAGGAATTCCCCCTGAGCTGCTGGTTCAGATAGAACCTGGTTTTGTGGCTGTGTATGGGGAGCAGCAGAGATGCTCCCAAAAGTGCTTAACAAATAAAGCTGGTGCTTTACTGATCAGGAGAAAATTAATTTTCACCCATAAACACTCACCTCTGACACGCTCAAGCAAGTGAAAATGTGATCTGGGGCTGCAGATGTGCCTTCCAGCTCATTTTTCCTCCCAGCATCTTCTCTAGGCAATGCTGACACTTTCTTTACCTTAAAGAATAATAATAAAATTAAAAAAAAAAGGAAAAAAAAAGAGAACCCCCTATGCATCATCATACCCAGAGTTATTCTAAAAGAAGAAACATATTTCCAGTAATCTTTATTTGCTTTTGGACATTAATGCAAACTATGTAAGCTTCAAAATTATTTCCCAGTAGACAGAAAGCGGCTTCCAATCCTAAAATTATGGTATTTACTTACAGTACATTAGAGAGATTTTTTTTTTTTTTTAAACAAGAGCTGTTTGCTTGAAACCATTATAGTAACCATTATAGTAACTGTGAGCATTAACAAAGAAGTTCATATATATGTTTTAGGTACAAAAAAGAAGAAATATGAAAGGAGTGGAATTTCTGGGACAATGTAAAACTGTTGGGAGCAAGAAACAGTCACACCAAGTCAATGACCTGAACCTGTCTGTGGATACAGGGGTTGGCCCTTGTGTGTTTGGGATACTGGAGACTGGCTCTAGGTGCAGCTCTCCTTCTAAAGTGCAATGCAAAAAGAATTTTGATTATGCTTGAGCAGGTTTTGTTTTTGTTTTGTTTTTTTTTTTAATGTGGGGTTTTATTTTCTTTGTATGTTTTTTTCTGCGATTATTAAATCATATGCATGGATTAAACTCTGCCATATAGTCATTAATGGGCATTATTACTGTCTTATGTAAAGGGGTTCTTTTGTTATGCAGTATGCAGAAAAATGTTCTCAGCCTTATGATTTCCAGATCTGTATTATCCACTTATTTCTTCAAGGGAAACTAAACAACTGTAGCTGTAGCTGATCATTTTTGTGCATTTCAAGTCTCTTGTGCTCTGCTTTACTGCCGTGTTGGGACCCACACAGAACAGACCCCGCTCCTGTGGCGGCTCATGGAAGCCTGGCTTTGGAAATTTTGCTTGTTTGGGTTTTTCCCCCTGATTTGTGATGGTTTCTCTCCCTTTATAAACCCCAAAAAATAGCAACGTGTCCATGTCCAGCTGTTGTCTTGCCAGGAAAAGCCACTCACCTGAGCACAAGGTGATTTTTCATTTGTGTCCAGGGAAATGCAGTCACTCACTGAGCATGAGGCTCCCACACTTCTGAAGGAGGAAATCTGCAGGAAAGAAGCAGAACAGTAAAATGTTCAGTCAGCACCAAGCAGCCTCACTGTGCTGCACAGGCGAAGGCTCCCAGGGCAGCACAGACTCCAAAGCAGAATTACAGTGGGGCTCTGCCCCACTGCCAGCACTCCATGCAGGGCCATACCTGCAGTGAACCCCCCCCAAAACTCCCCAGGATCTGCTCCTTGGGAGTGAAAAGCCATTTCTATCAATTAATATTTAAAATCATGACGAGAAACAAGGTGCAAGAAGAGCAGGAACAAACATTGTCCAGCAGCAGCCGCTGCCCAGGAGGGGCTGGCAGGGCTGCCTTTAAGCCCTGGGCATTTCTGGCCATGTTTAACAATCAGAGCTCACTCTGCGTTGTTCCTGCAGAGCGAGGGATTGATGTGAATCCGGAGCCATCAGCAGGGTCTGTCCCAGCCCCGGGGGCCGATTCTCACCGGGGGGCTCTGCAGAGCAGCCCCCATCCCGTGAAGGTGCTCGGAGCTCTGGGGTCACTCCTGTGCCTGCAACACCTCAGTAAAGCTGGGAGAGCCTGGTCCATGGAATTCCCTCCCTCCCTCCTTCCTTCCTTCCTGCAGCCCCCAGTCCCTGCTGCATCCCCAGGGACAGGGGCTGCCCCTCCATCCCCCCATCCTCTGTGCTTTAGTTTCCTTTAAGAAGTTCCAAGGGAGAAGAGGTGTTTCATACAGGCTGTTGACTCTCCCTGTACCTACAAATATATTACTACTTGTATATTCAGTTTAATTACTCCTTGTTTCTATTACTGAACGAAGACTTAACGAAGGGAAAAAAAAAAACCAACAGCAATAACATTCATATCTATGGAGCAGCTAACTCTATACATAATATTCTGCTTTTCAAACAGAACTAGCCAATGTAAAAAAACATTAAAAATAAATTCAACATGTAAATACTTTTTTTCATTTTACACTGTTGTATTATAAGTGTATATGGTGTTTACTTTTTCAAAACTCTTTCTTACCTGGTAGTTGTCTTGTTTTATGAGTTGTGTTTTTAACTGAGAAGAACCTTTGCTGTCTGTTAGGAAAAAAACAAAACAAAATCTTTTTGCAAGTTTTCAATGTGGGTTATAACCTTTTCTCCATCATTTGCATTTTATTTGTCCTTATTTTCACTGTAAAGTATTTTATTACCAAAAGGTTGGTTTTTGTTCCATTCTGCCCTCTCAGCAGTCCATGTGTTTTAGAGAGAAGTTTTTTTGTTGGCTTGGTTGTTGTTTTGTTTTGTTTTTTTTGGTTTTGTTTTGTTTTTTTTTTTTTAATTGAAAGAACTCACAGAAATGACATTTTTTCAATTGAAGAAAAATAAATCTTTACATTTATAATAGCCAATAGCATTTCAGCACATTTTTGTTATCCTGGTCTCTCCTATGCTGCTGCTAATGACAATATTATGACTTACTCTACTATTCTAGAACTATTTTTATGTAAGTAATGTATGCTTTCTTGTTTATAAATGCCTGATTTAAAAAAAAAATAAGAAAAAAGCTTGGCATATTTATCTATTTCGCTGTGTACCTTGATAGTCCTTTTCCACCCCCTTTTCCACATCCCCTCCCCCTGAAGCAGATAATATTGTAAAATAAAGGACTTTATGAGATTATGTATGAAAATAGCTATGCTTATATACCACAGTGACTGAATGTACAGTGTATAGACGCATTACCGAAAATAAAATTGTTTGTCCAGAAAAAAATAAAGAGCTCTGGGATGTTTTTGGAGTTCTCTGTGCTTTGCTGAGGTGCTGCTCCCCACAGCACCTGGTCCCTGGTTTCCTGAGGGCCCAGGAGAAGGACCCTCCCTGAGGCATCATTTAACACAAAACATTGCTAATAAATAATAATATATAATCATTTAAATAATAAATAAATAATAAAAACATTTAGCGTGGACACTGCTGGAAGGAGACTGGAATTTAATTGGGATCACAGCATTCCACTGTGTGGGGAAAATCCAACACTCCAGTGAAATTTCTCTGGAATAGTGAGAATTGTAAGCATGGAGAAGTTTGTTCTAGGTCAAAGAAAAAGAAACACAAGAGGGGAAAATGCAAAAAGCAGGAGATGGAAACATATGTCAGAATAATTCTCTCATGGTTTTCTGAGAAGTGGCTGCAGAATTTCCACAGCTCTGGGACATTTCTGAAATGCCTTTGTAAAGCAGTGGAAAAGCTGGAGAATGAGCAAAGAGCTTAAAAAAATAAATCTCTTCTTATTTGAGACTCAGCCAGCTTTCCAAGGGTGGGTTTGTGTCCCAGATGCAGCTGCACATCCTTGGGGAGGGATCCTGTGCCCCACATCCCAGCACATCCCTGTCCTCCACCTGCACAGCCTCACTGGGGCTCAGGGGCCTGAAATGAAAAGTTCAAACAACAATTCCTGCTGCTGCTCCTTCCCAGAGAGACTTGGCAGGGCATTCCTGTTCCAAGCTAAACAGCAAACTAGATCTGGCTTGATAAGGCTTGGTACCAGAGGCTGAAAAAATTCTATTTTCTGTCTCCAAGGTCCTCTGAGTGCATCAACACAGATTGGTAAAGCCCAGTCAAGCTGTCTTGTGTTTCTGGGTAAGGGGTAACTAACTGGGTTTGAAAATTCTGGTTCTGCTGACAAAATAACTTCAGTTTACCAGGAATGAGACACACTAGGAATGAGACACACTAGGAATGAGACCTGAACCTGCTCAATAACCAAGTGAGCTGAACTGACTCAAGCCCAAAGCAGCTGAAATAAATAGAAACAGAAATAAAAATCCAATTTCCTGAGGCCTGGAGTAAAAACTACTCAAGAGCTTGTGCTACCCAGCCATCAGAAAACTCCACTAAAAACCCAAACATGGGGTGGCAAATCCAAACCTTGTGTGGGGCAGAGCTGAAAGGAACAGCCACAAAATCCCACAAATGGGGATGAACAGAGCTCCCCAGTGCTTCCCAATGTCCTGTGAGCAGCCCCTGATCCCAGGCTGGCAGATGGAGCTCAGAGAAGCTCAGCACACACAGAGCAGGGGGAGGCCTGAGGGATTTTGGGGAGAAAGGAGGAAATTCCTTGTTACTGCTCAAGGGATCCAAAGCAGAGCTTTTAGGTGCTCCCACCTTCAATTGCTGAAAAGCCATGAAAGAAACACATCCTGCAGGGAAGGGATCCAGCGTGGGGGAAAGGACAGGAATCTGGGAAGCAGCAGCAGCCCAGGAATGGCAGAGTTAATGGAGATCTGAGCTCCCAGGCACTGTCAGGAGAAGAGCACAGCTCTAATAAAAGCCAGCTGTGTGACGTACACAGCACTGGAATTTTTATGAGATGGCTTATGTGCACTTTAAGTATTACCTGACTGCAATGCAAATTCCCACACACTTTTAGTTGGGAGGGAAAAAAGTTTCCACAGCTCTCTGGGCTGGACTGGTTGAGCCCAATTGTTCTGCACAGCATCTGTAGGGTTTCTGGCTCATTGTTCTGGATTTACCTTTGTATTTGTTTCCGTTGAGTCAGCTCAGCCTGGAACCTTGAGGATTTTATCTTCCTAAAACTGCCCCAGAGCCACCCTGGCCCAGCCATCCCAGTCCTGTGGCCCTTCCACCTCCCATCCCTATGCAGATGAGGAAGACTCCAAGGAACAAGAGGACACCTGCACAGGTCAAAAGAAAATGAATTTTCACTGCTTCAAAGGTCAGATTTGCTCCAAAATCTCATTTCTGTAAACACCATAAGGACCATAAACTTGAGTGACCATGATCTTGGGAAGGAAGTTTACAAAGAGCCCTTTATAAACCCTGTTTATAACACAATGTTTTGGGTTGCTCCATGTGCTCAGGTCCAGCCCTGGAATAAGAAATTCCTTTATAGTGTGGTTGTGAGAAAAGGTCATTAAACCCTTCCCTTTACGTGGGCAAGGTGCATGAACAGAGCATGAACAGAGCATGAACAGAGCATGAACAGCCCATGAACAGAGCATGAACAGCCCATGAACACAGCCCATGAACACAGCCCATGAACACAGCCCACAAGCAGTGATGGATTCCCGAGCAGCATCCCCAGTGCAGGCCCTGCTGTGCCTCCCTGCAGCCCCACTGCTGCTGCTCCTGGTCCCAGCAGGAAGAACCCCCCAAACACCCCCCAAACACCCCCTGGCACTGCAGCTGCAGGACAGCAGGGCAGAGTGTCCCTTCTCAATTCCTGAATCCAGCTCCTGCATTTCCAGCACTGCTTTGCAGAATAAGTGACCAGTCAGACACTGACAAGTCCAATTTCCCTCTGTTACCTTTCCAACCCACAAGGTGAGGGGAGCAGCAGAGGAAGGCTCGGCACCAAACCTTCCATGTTCCATTTCCTGGCATGTTAAACTCCCCCACAAACCCTCTGCCCCAAACTGCAGCCCCTGTGTCTGGCAGCAGCTCCAGCTCAGGATTACACTGCAGTGCCAAGGGATTCAACACACGCAGCATTTTCCAGCAGTAGAGGTTTCCTAGGCCTGCAATTACTGCATCTTTGCTGATGTCAGCCCTGCTGCTTTCCCTCCAACGCTCTGCATGGAAAATCTGGGATGGGACTTTGGCTCCACCAAAAAAAGAACTCAGGATTGGATTGTACAGCAGGGCTGTGAACAGACACAAGGACCTGCTGCTGTGGGCCTGGAGTTCTGCATGGGAAGTTCTGACCTCCTTGGGATGCCCAGGGCAGCTGGCACCATCCCTGCCCAGCTCTGAGCACAGCACACACAGCTCCCGTGCAGGGATCCCGTGCTGCTTAATTCAATTTGGCAGATAACACTGGGGAAGGCATTGATTTCCTCCCCTCGCTCCCTCCTTCCCTTCCATCAATTTTCCCAGATAAGCAGCCTGTGGCTCAGGTCCTGCTGGTGACGGATGCCTTGTAATTGCTCTGAATGGATTATCCCCAGACATGGAGCAGGCATTTACAGTGCACAGCTGTAATCAGAAACACTCGCACCCAGGAGAGGGGCTCTGAGGAGCAGACAGCTGCCTCCGGCCTCTGCCTTGTCTCTCTGCTCTTATATTAAGCCTAACTTTATGTATTTGTGATTTTAATACAGTGGATATTTAATAATATCCAGGCCATCCACTGAAATCAGAGTCCAGATGGGCTCAGTGCCATCCCGACCCTCAGAATTGATCTCTGCTTCTCAGGTAGCCTGAGATTGTCCACCCTGCTCAAATCTTTCTAAAGATCATGCAAATTATTATTTGCCTAAATCAGAATCCACCCATTTGAATGGGTAACATCACCCCAGACTTGGGCAATCCATGCAGACATACTCTGTCCTGCAATTACTGGCTAAAGACATTGGATCAGACAGTTCTCACCTCAGTTTATTGCTGCTTTTCTCCCTCTGCCCAGACTAAACTGTCAGCAGTTTGTTTATCAAGATCCCAGTGACTTTCTAATTTGTATGTCTGGGGGGAGAAAAGCCATGAATAACTAAGTGTGAGACAGACTGTTACATAGGAACAAAACACGGCAATTGGAGCCACTGAATTTTAATTTTGTGCAATTAACCACAGCAGCCCAGCATCAAGGGGCAGCAGATCCACGATCAGGATGCTCAGGCTGAAAATCTGATCAACATCAAAGTGTTTTGCCCTGCAAACTTTCATTGAGGTCAATGAATGAAGGAAGGAAAGCAGCAGAACAGCACCCAGCAAGGAAAAGCTGATCCTGTTCTACATTCCCAGTTACTGGAAGCTCTCTCACACTGGGGTTTCCTCCTGCAGCACTGGTTTTCCCCTAGGATCCCTACATTGAACAGATCATGGATTGTGCTGGGGGAAGCAGGACTTGGGTGCTCTCACCCCCTTTGGTCTGGTGTTTGTGCCACCCTGGTTTTCACTCTCTGCTCCTGCAGCATCAGTTTGGTCACCCTGAGCAGGACATGGACAATGGCAGCTCCACAGGAAAGGTTTTGTGCTCAGTATGAACAGTACAAACTTCACTGCTCCAACCTTTAACCAAAACCCAATCCTGCTGTGAAACAAAGTCCGTCTAACCCCACGGTCCAGCTCCCTCTGCCACCTGGGAAAGCAACAGGAATTCTTTCCTGGAGCAGTTGATGCCTCGCTGCTGCTTTGGTGCTGGAACTGGGAATCCTTCCCTGCACATACCACCCCTCCCTGGCCAGCACAGCCCTGCAGGGCCTGGCCTGAATGGGGCTGATTTCCCAGAACTCCAGGGACTGACACCTTACAAGGTTTAACACTGATTTATTAAACGTGCAGAAATCAACTTCTCTGGAAAAAAAGCTTCTTTATAAAAAATCTTTGTTATAAAAAAGCTTTGTTAAAAAATCACCCAACACAAAGCCCTTTCCCATTTTTGCCCCCCAGAAGCTGCCTGCAGGCAGGGGCAGAGGGGACAGTGGCTTTGGGACCACACGTGCTCAGCCTGGCTCGTGCAGCTGGCAGATAATGGGCTTTGCAGGTCACTGGCTCTTGAGCACTGTTATCTCTGTGTAACATACACCTTGTTGTGTCTTACTGCTTAATTACAGCTGATACACAGGCCATAATATTGCTTATCATTAGCCAGAGGATGACAATTACCATTTAAGATTAAACAGCTTGCTTTCTTCAGCCAAGTCTCCGTGTGACACTTCCTTGCCCAAGAAAAGATTTGCACATGCAGAACAAATCCCCAGCCTAATTGGAGATGTGCCCCTCACAGGGAGGTGGAATTTTGGAAGCACAAATTGCAGGTGAACATCACCAACAG